ATACCCGTCTAGTGGAGGCAGAGCCTCGCGTTGTGCACCTGCCAGCAAACGTTTTAAACAAGAAGCAGCCACTAATATTTTTTGTAGTGAATCCATTTGATCAAAACCCATCGATAGATTTCACTGGATCAACATGTACAGTTTAGTTTATAATTACACACACACACACACACACACACACACACACACACACACACTTTATCACACAACCAAGCTAGAAAAGCCATTTCTAATATAGAAGCACAGCACAACTGTGCCACCACTTTAGGTTTAAAATGATTTTAGTTCAGTTTTTAACACATATGTTATATTATCATAGAGAGTTGTACAGTACCTTTTAGAAATTATGGAATATTAACTAATAGTTTGGGGGCACAAAGATTTCTATTCATCAAAAAATCCTGGAAAAAATATTTATCATGGTTTACACAAAAACATGAAGCAGCACAACTCTTTTTAACATTGATAATAATCAGAAATGTTTCTTGAGCAGCAAATCAGCTTATTAGAATGATTTCTGAAGATCATGTGACACTGAAGACTGGAAGACTGTAAATATAGAACACTTCAAATAACATTTAAATTAACAGATTATATAAACTGAACAGACATGTTTACATTTTTACATTTACATATTCAATTGTATTTAAAATTTAAACAATTGAATTCAGACTCCATACTGTTCCCACCTGGGCACTTCAAGACCCTCGTACGTTCCTACTGTGTAATGACGAAACAGCTTCCTCTTCGCCTTCTCACTGCGGCTCTCTGAAACACACACACACACAGTCCGACTGTTAGCACATGTAGGCGTGTATATCTGTGTAAGTGGAAGTGTGATGTATTCAAATTGATGTGATTTTGCATATCCATGTGCTGTGCGCATGAAGATTATGTGAGAAGGCAAATCATCACAGGGAAAAGCTCTTGGAGGCATCCTCAAAAAAAGAGAAAAGGCCCATAAAGGATTCATAAAGAAATGAAACGATTCACCATTGTGTTTTAGGATTACAGTTTGTTGATAGTTATTACATACGGCGTAATGTAAGTAGAACATAAGTCCACATTTAAGAATATGAGCGCTTAGACGTTTATCCTTCATAGATCAGGAAAACTGGATTTTTCAGATATACTGTATTTCAAATATCAACTCAGATATTTCTTCTATTCTATTTTATATGAGCTGTCAACAGGTACAAACCTGTAAAACTTTATACATTTCCTTTATACACTAGACATTTGAGACTGTTGAGACTTAAATAAAGGCTCATTTATTTATACTGTATCTGGTTGTTATCTTATGGTGTGTTCAAGTCATGTCAGATAGATCGTGTTTACGAGTTGAATGCACATGAACGCCACCACAAAGTCGTTATTATGAGTGGGAAACTCGAAATTTTCTTTAAGCCCCGAGTTTCCAAGTTGGGGGCGTGTCATTGAGAAACATGGCGGAATCGATGGATGCAACGTCTGTAGCTGACGGTAAATTTTTCTGCATGTCTGACAGAGGGAGACAGAGAGATTGCCAAAGTAAAACAGAAATGACAATACTTACAGGTATTAAGCAGTGACATTGTCAGGCTTTTTATTTACAAAAAAATAAGCTTTTTGAATGTGGCAGGTTTGTAATATAACAATTAATAACAAGTTTTTATGCGATACAGATTAAAGTGGCTTCATAAATTACTTTTTAAAAATATTAAAAAAGCAAAACACACCTGATGCAAATTCTTTGCTCTTCATTTTCTATATTCTTGTAATTTATTAAAAGAAGGTACACCGCCATCTTGTGCCAACTAAACTGACTTGAACGCACCTGACGTCGTAACTACGACTTGTCAACTCATAAGTACGAACGTCCCAGGAGGACTTGAATGCAGCATAAGAGACACATCTGAGATATTATAGAGAGCGGAGGTGTACCTGTTTGCTGCTCCTGGTTTTGGGGCTGCACCTCTTCTACACAGTCAGCAGGAAACCAGCCTGTTCTGCCCTTCGCTGTTCCTTCCCAGAATCCCCCTTCACCTACACTCAACACTGAGAGGGTTTGACAGCTTTAATAAACCTTAAATATTCAAATGTTAATGCTACATTGAAGAGAATGACATAAAGAGACCTCTGACCTTTGACCTTGTCCCCTTTGCTGAGGCTGATCTCGCGCTCACCATGAGCAGAGTGAGAACGAGTCGCCACAAACACGCGACCCGGAACAGCACTGTAGAGACGTTTCTTCTGACCTCCTCTACAACACACACAGACCCACCAGTGCTGTTACTGTTAACTCAAATAAACCTATTAGCAATCATTTTCAGTAATCGAAAATAAAATAAAATAAACATTAGATTAAAAACTTACAACTTGTGTGACAAAGTGACAAAAACACATAACTGTCTTAAACTTTTACAAAAAAATGACTAAACAATCTTAAACTACTACTAACATTTCTAAAACTAATGCTGAAATACATGTAAATTAAAGCTATACAGAAATATTACAAAAACTAATGAAAATGACAAAAACGCATAACAAATTTAGATTGAAAAAATGAAATGGAAACTAGAAATATTGCCTTTAGTAACTAATGGAAATAAATGTTTAAGCTGGAGTACTAAAATAACTAAAACTAAAACTGAAATAAATATAATGGAAAGCTAAATAGAAATATAAAAAAATACTTAAAATGACCAAACATAACGATCTTAAACTAATATTAAAAATTCTAAAACTAATACTGAAATAAATATAAATTAAAGCTATACAGAAATATTACAAAAAATAATAAAAATGACAAAAACTCATAATACATTTTTATTTACTGAAATAAACACGTGTAAGCTAAAGTACTAAAATCACAAAAATTAAAACAGAAATAAATATAAAGCTAAACAGAAACTAATAAAAATAAACAAAAATACATAAGCCTAAAATAAAAAAACCTCAAAGTACTAAAATTAAAAGTTAATAAAAAACTATGTCGACATATTTACAAAGAAAAGCAATAACTGATAGAATTGAAATAACAACTAAAATAAACTAAAATTAAAATGAAACTGAATAAAAGATCATGTCAAATGTCAATAAATACATAATATATAATAACAGAATACAGAATACACTAATGGGAACATGCAGGCAAAAAGTTGTATCCCATCCAAAGTAATAAAAAATAGTGTAGGCGGGTGACTTTGTGCGTTAGTGCCAATGAATAATGTTGGCTCGGCTTTGTTAAATAGGGTAAGTTTCCAAGGATTTGGTGCAGGAATGTGATTGTAATAACTCCTTAGTATTTGGATCTCATCCATTATTGAACACCGTGGGACCAAACCCTCTTACAAAATCATTATTTCAAGGATGTTACCAAAATTTCAAGACTGGCTGGACCAAACGGAGAAGCAAAGGTTTAAGAATCCGCTTCTAACTTCAAATGTACTGCTGTATAGATGCCATAGAGTGCATGTTTTAGACTGATGGTTGATTCTTGTACACAGCAGAAAGTGTTGGTTTCTTAGTCACTGAGTAAGAATTAACTCAGTATGGCAGTGGAGCTTTGGCCAGAAGCCGAACAGCGCAAATCACGACGTGCAAAATAGTGAGTCAGAGCTTCTGTAATGTACCATAAGAGAGCAACAGAAAACAACGCTGACAGTTTAACATATAAAAACACCCCAATGATAGAGGTAAGGATCTAAACCAGTATTTACACTTGAAAATTGTCCATATAATCACTGATATCTCTGTGGTTATCAATACAAGTGGTTTTGCTGTAAAGTCGCCTTGATGTTCACGCACTACTGAACAGCTAATGTGGAGTGAAACGGTCTCAAACGCTATGAGCTAAAATACAGTATGATGAATCTCAAGACAAAACGTCTATAGGTCACATTTTGCCCCAAAAGAAAAGGATTTTGCCAAAAATATCAACAACAAAAAATAAATAAACCTATTTTTAGGGTCATCAAAAATGGTTATGATAATTAAGCACATTTACCCTTCTCGTTACTTTAATGCATCCAGACATTTTAGTTTTGCATTTATTTTTTGGTAATTTACTTATGATTATATATATATATATAAAACTGTGTTTGAAGAAAGCAAACAACAAAAAACATTGTATTATTTTTTGTTGTTTGCTTTTTTAAAATGCAATTAATTAAAAGCAATACAACAGAAAATTTAAATTCAATTAAATTAAAAGCAATATAACAGATATGAAAAATTATGAAAATGTAAAATTAAAATACTTCTAAAGTGAAAACATGTTTACATGCATGTCATGTGACCATTAACCAACATCAGAGAACTTGCTGTTAAATCTCAATTTATTACATTATTTTATATTAAATAATGTTTAAAAATTAATGTTTCAATTGAAAAAGAAACACAGGCTCAATTTGCTTAAAGCAACAAAAATCACAAAAGCACAAAACAAAATGACTAAAAATTAAACTAAAAGTTAAATAAAAAATGTCATTTCAAAATAGTAAAATATAATGCATCATTCAAACTAGAAAAACTGTAATAGTGAAATATATATTTTTTGAAAATATTTAGTTACTGATCCATTATATTTTTTCTTTAATTAGCATCATTAATTAGAATTAGTAACAGTAAAAGCATTAGTAATTAGTAATAGCATTAGTAATATACTCCCTATATTATTACACTTTTAGCTGCATTATTTATTTAAATAATCACATTATTTCAATTTCATTTTTAGTTATTTTTGATTTTTCTAATTCAACTTATTTCATTTTAAATCTCATTTTATTACTATATATTGATTTTATTCTCTTTAACATTTGAATTTTTAATTTAAATATGTAATCATTATTTTTTTATTATTTATGCATTTGTTTTAATAATTTATTTTCAAATCTGTTTATGTATTTAGTTTAGTGAATTGTTTCATTCAGACTCAGTATAAATCAGGTTTCTAGGGGTTTTTTTAGGGGCTTTTATTTAACCTGCTAAATGTGCAAAATAAATAAATAAATAAACTTTTACAGGATTTCATTTTGAAAATCATCACCACATATATACCACATACAATGCGTCGCCTTGGAATTATAAGGTTCTATATACATTTTTATCAAAATGGAGTTCCCTTTCAGTCGGTCACACTCGACGTCACGTCGGAGGACCGACGAAATTGGGATCTCGCTTAGAGGGACCAATCTACTTCGAGTGTAAACTAAACGAGCCAATGCACATTGGCAAACGATTATTGCATCCAGCTGCTGCTGATCACAGCGTGAGTATAAGTAGGCAGCAAGTGCAGCGCATATTCAGCTTTTCGCTTCGGAGCCGAGCGATCACATCGTTCTGCTCCTGACTACTCTACTGAGAGAAAAGACTGAACGAGTTCAGCGCGCTCTTGGAGAGCTCTTATATTCTTATTTACAACTTATTACGTGATGCTTCTTTTGTAAGCTGTGTACATTTTGGAACTTTTTTTTTTTTTTTTTTTTTTAGAAAACAAAAAGGGTTCTATCTACAGAAGTCTATGGAACACGAAAACCTTTGAAGCTCAATATCTCAAAACTGCTCAGAATGCATTCCAAGCCGGCGAATGGTCAAAACAGTCACCAGAGACAGATGCTGGTATCTCAACTCACCCCTGCCTCCCTCGCTGTTTTTGCTGCCTTTCCTCCGTCTCTCCTCCCTCTCTCCCTCGGGACGGGGATCGGGTTCGGGCTCCGCGGGGACTGCTGGAGCTCCTCAAAGCGAAAGAGGCCCGGCGCTGAGTCTGATTGAAAGCAGAGAAAAGGAGTGATTTGGCGACTGATGTCTGTGCTGGCGTGTTCCCCTGACGGCCAGCAGGAGGTGAAGGGCTACCTGAGCAGGTGGCATGCTGGCGGCAGCGGCGGGCAGCACTACGGGGTCCATGAGCGTCGTCATCGTGTTCTCGCTCTTGGCGCGGAGCAGCAGGTGAGGATGCTGAAGGCCGGCCGTGATGACTTGATTTAACATACCCTCCATAAACAGAGGAGCGTATTTGGGAGTTTCTAAAAATGGAACTGATGGGAAAAGAATCAAAGATTAGAGAAGAAGAGATTATATAGAGATGGGCTCTGTTCCAAAACCTAGTGAGCTGCCTTGATGTCTACATAGACAGCTGCCTTCAAAGGAACTTCACAAGCAAGCGATTTGGAAAGACTACATAGGCAGAAAATAATTAAGTGTGTGAGAAATACAACTCAGAACTGATTCAAATGAAGCTTGACTTTAGCAAGTTCCTAATAGTGATATTTATTTACTTTATTGGAATTTGTTAATATTTAGAATTAGTTTTATTTTTATATATTCAGTTTTCATTTTAGTTTTTTATATATATATATATATATATATATA